AAAAAAAAAAAAAAAAAAAAAAGAGAGAGAGTTTGAGAATCAGGACCTCTACTAAGCAGAATAATAGGAATTGGATACCATTAATGGTATGAAATGGTATGAACATTTTCAGAAAGCATTCAGGTCTGTAGTGGGGGGAATGAGCTCATTTCAAAGCAGTTCTAGTTTTTGAGGGGCACCTGGGTGGCTCAGTCTTAGGTTCGACGTCAGACTTCAGCTCACCGCTGATCTCACGGTTTGTGAGCTCGAGCCCCACGTCGGGCTCTGTGTTGACAGCTCCGAGCCTGGAGCCTGCTTTGGATTCCGTGCCTCCCTTCCTCTCTGCCCCTCCCCCGCTTGTGCTCTGTCTCTCAAAAATAAATAAACATTAACTTTTTTTTTTTTAAAGCAGTTTTAGTTTTTGAGTTTGCTACGTCCCTCAAAAGGATGTGTGCTCAGTGTCCAACCCGTAGAGGGGTGAAGGGAGGGTGGCAGATCAGAGTTTGGGATTTGTAGTTCATTCACGTAGAGGTAGAGATGAAAGTCCAGAGACTGTAACAGAGAGCCCATACAGACTAAGGTGTGATCTGATACGTATGGGGGAAAATAGGAAGAACTGTGGATTTTCTGGTGTGCCAGGTCGAGAGGCTGAGAGTAAATACTCTTTGAGGAAGAGAGACGAGAGAAGGTGTCAAAGGTGACACCAGTTGGGTGAAACGTGCGTTAGGACAGCGTGCAAAAGGTGCAAGAGGATAGGGAGAAACGCGCCACACCTCAAAAGATTTCTTCTTTGGGAGGGGAGAGGAGTGCTTGGAGCTCAGGTAGATTTGAGCACACACCGATTGGATCTTCTTTGCGAGACTGATGAGTGTCTCTGCACAGGTTCCTGACGTGAACGATAACTCGTATCTCGGGTGGTTTACGTGTGAGGAAAACGGAACGTACCGGCACACGCATATTCCTTGCCTTTGAGTCGATTCTTTTATGAGCTACTACAGTGTTGTTGTTTTTCCCAGTGAGGGCTGAACAAGGAGAACCCGATTTAAATGAGATGGAGTTTCAGGCATCTCCCAAGGGGACAACTTTTTATCGAGTTAAGAGACACCGGGGGACAATATTGAGATGGCTCATGAAAGCTCGAGTCCCCTGAGAGCTATAAGGATAGGACCAAAGTAGACCTAGCGCGATCTGCCTCGGCTTGATTACGCCCAGCTGAGGGTTCTTTTCCAGAAGGCCGTGGGCTAGATTCGACAGCCTTTCGTTCCGTGGCAGTACCTGAGGGTGCGCGTCCGGGGCTGGGAGAAACCCGTGCGGTGGAGACCCGAAAGACGAAGGGATGGGGCCGAACCAGCCGGGAGTGTCGCGTCCCCTTTAAGGGCGGCGGCGGCGGCGGCGGCGCCGGCGCGCGCTCCGACGGCTTCCCTGGGGCCCCGCCCCTTTCCCGTGAGCCCTCGGGGAGTGGTCCGACCGCGGGCGGCTGCGGGTGAGGAGCGGGGCGGGGGGCGGGGGGAGTCATGGCTCGACGCGGCTGGCTGCGGGCGCCCCTCAGCCGCGGCGGCGGCGGCGGCCCCGGGGCCCGCCGGCTCATGCGGCCGCTCTGGTTGCTCCTCGCAGTGGGCGTCTTTAGCTGGGCCGGGGCTTCGGACGGCGCCGGCGGAGCGGCGAGAGCCATGGACGAGGAGATCGTGTCCGAGAAGCAAGCCGAGGAGAGCCACCGGCAGGACAGCGCCAACCTGCTCATCTTCATCCTGCTGCTCACCCTCACCATTCTCACGATCTGGCTCTTCAAGCACCGCCGGGCCCGCTTCCTGCACGAAACCGGCCTGGCTATGATTTATGGCAAGTGCCTCAACCCATGTCCGCCCCCTGGCGCTCCCCCTTTCTCTGAACGCCGGCTGCTTCGCCTCCTCTCCTGGCCCTGCTCGGCCTGTGTTCGGCTCCCCTTCTGATGCCTTGTATTTTCTGCCTCGCCTGCCCCCTCACCCCCGTTTCTCTGCCTCACCTCATTTCCTCCTCGGCCTCGTCCCCCGTTTTCTCTGCCTCGCACCCCCTTTCCTTTGCGTGTCCACACCTTTTTTCCTTCGACCCCACCCCCTTTTTCTTCCACTCGTCCCCCACCCCCACCCCTGCCTCTGCCTACCGAGCTGGGGACCGGGACCCGGGACTGAGGATGGGAAGGGAGTGGGTGCGGTGTCTGGGATTGGGCTGGGGACTGGGGGAGGGGAAGACAGCCTAGCGATCCATTTCTCTGGGGTGTCAGTTTGTTTAAGGTCCATTGAAGCTGCAGTAGTGCCTCTGCTGCTCAGAATCTGGCGTCCTCTTGGAGCCAAGAGTCCACCTTTACCCATCACCCCCGCTCTTGCTACGCCCTGTCCTTTCGAGGTTGAGAATGAAAACCTTACTCCCGTGTAGCCCTGAACGCGAAAGAAGCTATAAAGAAGGCTTAGGGTATTTTTTATGATGTCCAGGTTTATTGTACTATGCTTGTAACGTCTGAGTAGTATACGTGCGGTCGACCCTCCTCATCTAGGCGTACCGAGGTGAGGACAAGGAAGAGTTAAAGATCTCCCAGCGCTGTGTTGTACTATAGGATGATCAGGACAGTTCAGCCGAACAGTAATTAGGGACACCACACATAGGCAGTATGGGTGACGCTGGTGGCATAAGGTTATTGACCGATCGTTGAGTAAATGGCTTCAGTCCTTGTGTCTTCGTGTGCTTTCTTTTTGAGATTTATTTACGTATTTTTATATTTTGGTCTTCAGAGTAGGGCAAAGCAAACCATGGGCTCACAGGCGTTTTGGCCTGTGCGGAGGCCTCATGAGAGGAAAAGATACATATTGCCGACTGTCTTAATGTGGTCGTGAGGGTATATAGACGGCTGAAAAGATGAGTGCAGTCTGTGAGTGAAGATTATCTTCACATGGAACAAGCTTACACTGATGAGCTTGTTGAGCTTTGTTTCCGGACTTGCAAATCGGTAGAAACAGCCTTGGCACAAAAAGACATTTCTCCACGACCCTCCCCACCCCCCCACCAGCCATTTCCAGTCCATACAGACTTCTAGAATGTGCATCTCAGGGGTGGCCCAACAAGGTAGTTGTGTGCATCAGGAAAATGCACGAACTCAGGCTTCTTTTTCATTTGTAAGGTAATAAAATGCTAAGCCTATGTGCAAGTATCTCTGCTCCCTAGGATTCTTGGGTTTTAGACATATTAGCTGGTTTTCATATTTCCTATTTTTTTGCATTTTATTTACAGCACCCCTTAAGCTAAATGGCCAGATAAGCTACACATCTCTGTATAATTTCTTGTATAACAATGTAAAATCAAATGTATACATGATTTATTTATATTTACTGCCCTCAACAAACATTTGCTAGGCAGCCAACTATGTATTAGGCACAGAAAATACAAAGAAATAGATCCCCACCTTCAAAAAACTTTGCTTTCTTGGGCAGACAGGCCATATAAACAAAATAATGGCATCTTAAATTTAGTTAAATGCCAAATGAGTATTATGGTGTTAAAATAAGGAACCGATCACAGAACCCTCTTCCCTCCATATGGAGAGAGAGTACAATGTAGTGGTTAAAGGTGCAAGGCTTTAAGACCAGAGGTCTGCTAATTTTTTCTATGAAGAGTCAGATGATAATTCGTGTTGATTTTGTGGGTCACATATGTCTCTGTGTCTCTGTTGCGTTTTCTTCTTTTTGTTTTTTTCTTTTTAGAAACCTTTTATAAACCTACAAAATGTAAAAACAGTTTTTAGCTCTCAGGCCATGCAAAAACAAACCATCACTGTAAGTCACCAACCCCTGCTTTAGAGCCAGACCTGGGTTCCTGTACCACTGTGCCATCTGTTCTGCGTGATCATAGACAAGAGTCCCCTACCCTCTTACCCTGTCATCTATAAATTGGGAAAAATGATAGTTGGATTATTGCGAGGAAGAATTGCTTTTAGCTTAGTACCTGACCCCTAAGTAAATGTTCAATAAATGATAACTGTGATACTATTGTTACTGCTCTTATAACTGCATTTTCTCAGGTTAGGCTCAGAACAGTTCTTTTAATTTCTCTTATAAGTTAAGAGGCAAATGTTTCTTCCTTCCTTCCTTCCTTCCTTCCTTCCTTCCTTCCTTCCTTCCTTCCTTCCTTCCCTCCTTCCTTCCTATCCAATAAGGACTTAGAATTGCCCTGGAAACATTTGCTCCTTGGTAGTTGATATCTTTAACCTCCTCTAACTCTTGAGCTAAATTGAAAGTGGGATTACTGACTGCATTTCCTGGTGTGTCTGAGTTAGTGAAAGGTTATGGAATACCTTAGCATTAGCATTTTGTGAAGGAAAAACAAAGGTATCCCTTGCAGAATATAAAGTAGAAGGATGTTGGGCTTGGTTTGCCACGGCTTGGCATTCTGTAGCCGGTTCCATTTTCTCACTATGGCAATGGAGGCTATGGATGAACAGCCTCCTGACTAATTCCCAAGTCTAACTTGAGAATAGATGGGATTGGGTCGAAGTATTTTCAGTGCCATGGAAATTGATGTTTTTAAATCCTAATTACTGTCTGCCATTTACCTTTTCTTATGACTCTTATACCATCAGAGCTGTTATGTTAATATATGATTTTAAGACCTTTATTTTTCAGCTTGACTTCCAGATGAATAGGCTCCTTACTCTGGGAATATCCAGCCCTCCAAGATTCAGCCCACTGATAGTTTTATTTCTGTGATGTCCGTTTAGCTTCCTAAATCCTGGAAAAATGCTATTTAAAATAAGCCTCTCCTTTATATTTTTGAGAGTCGAGAATAAAAAAAGAAAAAAAAAAAGCCAATATGGTCAGTTTCTAGATTGTAATATAGCCTAGTTGCTACAGCTACAGACACAGTGTGAAAGCACCCAAGTGTTCTATTCATTGGGCTCGCTTGCTTAAGAAGCTTAAAAGTGAGTCACCTTTAGTAAAAATTGTCAGGGTAGTTAATTAAGTCTGAAAAGTGATCACCCACTGTAGTGTGCTTACAGATTGTATAAAAAGCAAGGGACAGGGAAGAAATATTTTGCCTGAAACTTATAGTATCCGGGATCCTACACTTAACTGATGTGATTCATCAGTAAATATTAAGTGTCTTTGACGTATGAGATGTGATGGGAAATACAGATATGAGTCATCATCCCTGCCCACAAAGCACTTACGATCTAGTGCCTTAATAGGTAATGTTTGTTGAGCATTATAACACACTCTACAAGTATCATTTCATTTAAAGCTCCTAACAACCCTGTGAGATGGGTACTGTTATCTTTCCCATTTACAGGTAAAGAAATTGGGGCACAGAGAGGTTAAATGACCTGTCTGAAGTGACATAATTTGTAAGTATTGAGCCAGGATTCAAACCCAGTCAGCCTGGCTCAGAAGCCCCATTCTCTTAGCCTGGAACCATATTGCCTTATATTGAAGAGATAAAGCTTAACTGTAACGATAAACTGGTTAGTATTCTCATTACTACATTTGAGAAAACTGAGGTCCAGTGAGAGGTTATCTACCCTAAGGTCACAGACTAGAACTTGAAAGAGCCAGAATTAATACATCTATCTGACTTTCAAACTTGTGCTTTTTCTCCTACATCGTACACTATGCTGTACTAAATTTCATGAGATCGGATATGTAGAAAGATAATACTTACAGTTATAAGGGTTTTGGAGGTGGATTGTGAGAGAACGGAGACCTTAACCACTGAAGCAGTTAGTGGTGAGAGCCAGGAGATGATTAGAAAATTAGAGAGGCTTTGGAAATAGAAAAACCAGATTTCCATGCTGGTTTTTATCACTTAATGCCAAATACTGTTGGGCAAATCATTTATCCCCATTTTAGTGATGAGGAAACAGTGACTGAGAGATTTATAATAGTGTGGACTGCATAAGGTTATGAGGATCAGATAATATATGCAGAAAGAATTAGGATGGAGATTGATTGACTCAGGGTGCTAGGCGAAAGGATTCCCTTGGAAAAGAGGTTGATCTTTCCCCGAGAAGGGGGGGTGGGTTAGGGGAAATGAGCTAATGTTGACATGGAGAGGCATGGGATTGAGGCAGTGTACATCAGATGGCCTATAGCTTCTCTGAAAAGTAGGCAGTGAGATTGAGGATCTGAGAAGGAGGGTCAAGATTGGAAGAGCTACTACAGGGAATGTGCTAGAAGACAAAAAAATAAACACATGTAAAACTAACCAGAGGCTGGCAAAGGCCTTGCCTTTTTTTTTTGGCTGTCTTGAAGTCGAGTTGACTTTTAAAACAAAATCTAACAGCATTCTTCAAGAAGTAGATAAATGTTATATACACACATACACAGATATGTGTATATAAATATATATGTACCTACATACACTATGTGTATATAAATATATATGTACATACCAACACTTGTTAATCTGTAGAAATTTTATCAATTTTGGCCACACTTAATATCCCAGTGATGTTCCTTCCATATTTTTGACTATCAGAGGCTTCTAGTGTGATAGCTTGGGAAAATGGGCTGAAATCTATTAGAAAATCAATTTCCATTGATGGCGAGACCTATACGGTGTTGTGGCTTTGGGTGATACTGAGTTCTTTATCCCTGGGAGGGGTTCCAACACAAGAGGGTCAAGAATGTGTAGGAGGGGTGGGGCCTCTCTGTTTTGTGAAAGATAGCGCTTTGTGGTTGTATTCTTTGTTGCCTGTTAGTGGTGATTTTAAATTTCGTGATATCAATATTTTTTTGTGCCTCTGTGGGAGGCTAGAAGTTTCCGCCTTATCCCTTCAACAAAGCCCTCTTTTTGTGCACTTTCTCTTGACTGAGAAT